TTTATACTGCTAATTTTTGTTTTTAAACTTTTTATGATAGATGAGGGGGGGGGGGGGGGGGGAAGGTGACGCCCCACATTCTATAATTTATCTATGTCACTAATAAATAATTTAATAAAATATAATTTTTATTTTTAATACTATTTTCATTCATTTTAATAATGATAAAAATATTTATAAGAATGAATCTTTCGATACTAGGGTGTCTACCATTACCACCACATCCATCTCCTTCATAAAATAGATCTCTAATATTTGCTTGCAAACTGGAATAAAAATTAACAACTTTTTTAATGATAAATTAATAGTTTTATATAAAAAAACCTTTTATGGAAGAAATGTGAATTTTTTTGATGGCAAAGATATTTCTTCTGTCCCCCTCTAGCCCGCTGAATACGCACAGGTGTTAAAGCGAATGAAGCATGTAGCCCAATGTTAAACCTATCTTTTGACACCAAATTATATGCATTTAGATAAAAATTAACAATGTTGAGGCGGTTTAAGTTACAAAACCATTATAAATTGGTCAGATTTTTGTTAAGGAACCCTTTTAACCAAATTTCGTCACTATAATGTTCATAACTTTTTGTAGAATCATTCCATTTTGATAAAATTTTCAGTTTTGGAACATTTTTTAAAAAATCTTTCTGACAATATATAACAATCTGATATTTAAACAATTTGAAATTTTTACACACTTACCTACATAGTAAAATGTCCTTACGGTCTTATCACAGAGCACCGCGGATGAGCATTTAATTGGAAGCTCACGCCTCCTTTCTAACCGATGTCGCAAGACCTGCCCAGAGGTGGGTAAATAAGTTTACCGGAACTTTCCTTTTAGTCCGAATATGAAGTATAAATGGAAAGAAATGTATAGTTACGCATTTTTAAAACTTATTTTGGTAATAACTAAAATAAGTAATTGTAAAATGAAAAATTACCAAGCTAACACTGAAATAATTTCATTTTTAAAAACATCACTCCTATTAAAAAATCATAAAATTATATTTTTTCACTAGTCTTTTTTCTAAATTTAAAAAAGTGCATTTTACCATAAAAATCGACACACCCTAATGTGCCCCGTTTGTCTCTGCCCATATAATCCGGGTAATGATAAGCTAATTTCACACTGACCATTTACTTATTCTATACATAGTCGTTATTCTATTCTTATTATTTATGTTTCAATATTTTATATTTTAATTAGTTGTTTCAATAATTTTTAGTAAGTATGAAATAAAAATATTTATTTTGAGTTAACGAATAATGCTTTATTTAATATTATAAATTCTCATTGTAAAACTGTAAATTTCTATAAAAAAATTAAAATGGGGACGGACTGGGGATTGGGATTATTAGCATTTTTCTTTATTAAGTTTCTTTTAAGTTTTATTAAATGTTTTTTTAGACCATTCGCAACTTATTAAGACTTTCGCCCCGTTAAATACTTTGGAAGAAAATAAAAGTTAGAATGTAAAAAATTTTTTCCTATAAAAAAGAAAGTTGTCTTTTCAATGTGTGTTAAATGCGTAGACTTCAATTATTATCTGAGCACATTAATAACAAAATCTCTATCATGATATATGCGCAACAAATTTCTCCCAGTGTTTATTTTTTTTAAAAATTTAATATTTTTTTAAAAACGATCACTATTTTGTTTGTTATAGTATATAATATCAATATATATATATATATTATATATATATATATATATATATATATATATATATATATATATATATATATATATATATATATATATATATATATATATATATATATATATATATATATATATATATATATATATATATATATATATATATATATATATATACGAAATCTTACGTTGATCGCCATTGTTCTGGAAGACCGCTTTTGACAACACCCAATGATGATCGTCTTTTATTCAGGTTGGCAAAGAAAAATCGAACCATGCTGTCGCATGATTTAAGAAGGGAATGGAAACTTTCAAATGGACGTCAAACATTGGCATCACTTGTACGAAGGAAACTAATAGCTAACAATATGCTATAGAAAAAAGTTGTTCTAAAACCGCGACTTACCAAACAACATATAAAAAAGCGAAAAGAATTTTGCCGAAGTTTCAAAGAATGGTCTAAAGAAAAATGGAAGACAGTAATGTTAAGTGATGAGATAAATATCGAGGTTGTTGAATAAAAAAACCGAATTATGACTCGCAGGCAGCGGGTTGGTTGGAATATGGTGCTGCATGACATATTATAGTCTCAGTATATTTAAATTATTTGATGGTCGACTCAACTCTATTTATTACGTCGATATTTTAAATAACAACTTGTTACCATCAATTGATGCACTTGAACAAAGCGTTCCGTTTATTTTTCAGCAAGACAATGCACCATGTCACAGGACTAAAATTGTCTTTAAATGGTTCGAATGCAAAAATATTGAGCGTCTAACTTGGCCACCAAATAGCCCAGATCCAAATTGCATTGAAAATCTTTGAAGTTGGCTTGATAAAGAGATTGCCAAGAAAGTAGCGCAATATTTTACCAACAATACTTGGAAATATTCACAAACATATTTTAGAGAATTTAATAGACTCAATGCCGAATCGTATAAATGAAAGCTTAAAAGTTCATGGTAAAATTACGCGGTATTGTGTAAAAATTACCGTTTTTTGTTCTGTGGTTCTTAACTTTTTCACAATTTTTTTGATAAAATTTACCTAAATACATTTTTTTTATTTGTTTAAAAGTCCTTGACATTATTAGTATTTTTTATTTTGTTTGTCTATTTTCTAAAGTTTATTATTATTATTTTTTTTACCGAAAAATATATTTGACTGAATAAAAATTTAAAAATATAAATTAATTATGATTTGATTTTTGGTGGTTCTTTAATTTTTCACAATACTGTATAAGATAAATATAAAAAAAAATCAAGAAATCAAGATTTTAAAGGTGAGTCAATTGATTATATTGCTACTAAAAATAATAATAATACCTTTTCTAAATGTTGTCTAATATTAAGCTCTGGTAAATCAGTTATTTAACATAAATTTAAACTTTTTAAGAGATTAAAATCATATCTATATTCTATTCTAATACGGTTAAGATTAATAATGTAGACTAAAAATGAAGATCGGAATTATGATAAAAATGAAGACCGGAATTATGATAAAAATGAAGAATTATGATAAAGGTTAAGAAAAAATAAAGAGACAAAATTTTTTTTTGTTATAGATCCCGTTGCACTTACCTTCCCCATAACAGGGGAGGATTTAAAAAGTTCTCAAATAAACAGATAAACAGCTTAGCAAACATTGTTATAGTAGATTTGCATTGGGCCTATATAGGCATTTTTTAGCGGCTTGTTGGAGTTTTACCTATTGGTTACTTAGTGGACCATTAGCTGCAGCTGCGATAAATGAAAAGCCAATAACTTTCTAGTATATGTTCAGAGTGTCTAGTCATCGGCTAGCCACTTATGGTCCATAAAGTAACCGATGGGCAAAACTACGCGGGTCCGCTCAAATTGCCTATATAGGTCTACTAAAGTTCTGCTATAGAATATTTTCTGAGAAAATAAATCTGTTAATCTTCATGCAACACGAACTTGTAAGCCTCAGATGAAAAAAAAGGAATGCATTAAGTATAAATATTATAACGATTACAATAAATGTAAACTTGTTTACAGCAATTTAATAACAGATAATAAAGCCAAATAAATATAAACTTGTTTACAGCAATTTAATAACAACTAATAAAGCCAAATGTTGATAAAAAAAAATGTTGATGAAACAAAATAGTATTAAATGATCTCAATGTCAAAAAATGTCAGAGTTGTTAACAAGGCCAAAAGTTTCAAGACCAAAGCCGAAGCCAAGACCAAGGCTTAAAAGTTACAAGGCCAAGGACAAGGACAAGGCTAAGAGTTTTAAGGTCAAGGTTAAGAATAAGAGTTTCAAGGTCAAGGCCTACACGAACATTTTCAACACCAAAGGAATAAGTTTTTGCCTAACATTAAAACCATTTATCATCAAAACTGTGGGTAACAACCGCTGTGATAATAAACCACGTGTTGTAAAAATAAACCAAGGTTATGCGCAAAATTCTACGAAGTCAATAAGAAAACATACTTGTAGATATGAATGAAAGCCGAAAACAAAAATACATAAAAATAAATAATGAAAACTTTTAATTCTTTAATTTTTTGTATTTTTTTTTGAAAGCTAAGGCCAATACAATCAAGGCCAAGATTGAGGCCAAGGCCAACAGTTTCAAGGCTAAGAGCAAGGCCAAGGCCTTAATTTTTGGCCTTAAGATAAGGCCAAGACCAAGGACTAACAACTCTGCTCAATGTTTTAATACAAAAGATAATTAGTTACATTATTTTTTAAAAAAAGCGGGAAACTTGAAAAAAAAACAATAGTTTTAATATCAAAAACCGCTTTACACTTATATAAAGTTTATACTCTGTTAGTAGAACAAATATTTTAGCATATGTTATGCTATATTTTAGATATAACATGTCATTTACCGTTGCATAAGTAAACTTTTAAACTTACATATAAACTTAAATTTTTAAACTTACATTACTGTTTCTCAAATGTCATACTTTTTTTTAACCATTAATTTTATTTAAATCAAACTTATATTTAAGCATGAATAAGAAGCATTACTGGCACTTAGAGCATTCAAGTGGTTTAGCACGGTTAAACCTATCTTTGTTATGAACTAATCTTGATATGTGATTTTGATGCCAATAAAAAAAAAGAAACATAAAATAGGAACAACAAAAGTCCTTAACAAAAAAGTCTAAAGCTAAAATGTACAAAAAAAAAAAAAAAAAAGTGCAATATTTATTAATTATTATTTAATTAAATTTTCAAAACAAATTAGTTTATAAATAAGCATTGTTATTTTCAAAAAGCGTTCTTGACAATTGCAAAGTTGTTTTATACAAATAATTTTTATTGCATATTTTTTGAACAACTTTTCTTTCTATAAATCTTATATCTCAAACTTTATATGCTCGTACAAATTGTACTTATCCAAAAGCTCAGAAGCTTTGCGATCTTTTGCTCGCGCAGACGCATCTTCAAACAAAACTGAAATGCGTCCTCTTTAAAAAATAACAATAAATTAATTATCATCATAGAATAGAATAATTCAATGTCATAATTCAATTCAAATATTGATATTATATTTTCTCTTTACTACCCAGTAAATGAAGTTACAGGTAAAATACACTATATTAAATTTACTTTAGAAAATTATAAAGTTGTTAGCCTTAAGTACTAACAATTAGATAGCATGTTTTCCACATTTAATTGGTTAAGTGTTTTCGGAACATTTTCCTTTACCAAAGTTTTAAATAAAAATCTTTGTTCTTTTAAGTCCCATAACTGGGATGATTTTCTTAATCTTAATGGAACAATTAATAGAATTTATTAATATAATATAACGATTAATAGAATTAATAGAATTTAAAAGAATCATAATAGAACGATTCTCCTTAATCTGTTACAATATCTGTCGGCAGTTCTTCCATAGATCGTGCAAGTTTAATTTTTTCCCCTTCTATCATACTCTGGCAGAAGTTTAAACCAAGAGTAGTACATGTAGCAATCACTTTATTTATAAAATTTTTTTTTTGTGTTATTAGTAACTGCTTCAATACCAGTAAATAGCAAGTTTGATTTTTTAACAGCATGATAAATAAATTTACTTTGTTTCGAAGGAGAATAGTTGAAACATCCTCTATTTTAAAAAACGAATGCAGGTAGTTTTTACTATATTTTAAGATACAAAAAAAAAAAAAAAAAGATTTTAAAATTGATTTTAAATTTTCCAACAGCATCTATGTTGCTAAGAGAACTGGTGCTAAATTTACACCGCTCAAGCCAATATGTAAGCTTTGAATTAGTTAATAAGTTATATAGATCAGCGCTGGCCAAACGTTTTGTCACAAGAGCCGCATTTATATACTTACGTGAGCCGAAGAGCCGCAACAACTTCATGTTTGTTTTTTTATATAAGAAACTTTTATTCTCTTTCTTTTGATTATCTGAATTTTAAGAGACTTTCGTACTAGATAAGTAAAAAAACTACCCAAAAAATAAGAAATTTCTAGTACTAGCCCATTTTCTTGGTTTCATATAAAAACAACAATTTGTAATTCACTATTTAAAATCATTTTTTAAAGAAATATTTTTAGAAAATACAAATTATTTAGGAAATTCCATATGCTCCTAAGGGGTAGAAATAATTGTTGTATCACTATTCAACAATATCATTTTAATATGAAATTTAGATATTTCTTGGATACAAAATATCATTTTTTAAAGATTTAAGTAAAATATGTATACAATTGAATTTAGTTAATTGTTTTAAAACACTCAATAAATTTTTTAAAGAAAAAACTATTCCTTTAAAGATTTTGTTTACAATGCCATTATATCTGATTTATTTTATAAAATTCCCTTCAGACTAAAAAATCATTTCTATAGTTTTCGACAATCACATGATCACACTGATTTTGCACAGCACACGATTAGGTGCTGTGCAACACACTGGCCATGTGCTGTGCAACACACTGATCTTTTTTATGATAGATTTTTGCACAAGCGCATGCTGATCATAAACTTTTTTTTGATTAACAAAATTATAACAATGCTTATATCAATGAAATAATAATTAAAAAACCAACACTAAAATTAGATTATTTTACTTGATTTTTACAATCAAGAAATAACTTTTTCATCATTTTATCAATTTTTTACTTTGATCAAACTAATACTCATAACTTTACTGGTAAGTTTCTTAAAATCTGGTTTCAAACTTGTAGTGGCTGTTCTAAGTAATTCAGACAAATGCTCGTTGGTTAGATTTGCACGATACTTTGATTTGACAAATTTCATAGTAGAGAATAAAGATTCACATGTATACGTTGAACCAAAAATTGAAATGAATTTTATGGCAATCTTTTTAAGTTGAGGATACTTAACCTCGGGAGCTATCTTCCAAAATTCCATAAAAGTTATTGTTTTATGCAGCATAAGTAGATTTTGATCTTCTTGGAGATCTAGTAGTTCCATTTCAAATTGAGATATATCTTCAAGCATTTTTTCAGGAATTGGACAGCCATTACTAATAATATTAATTAAAAAAGGATTTACTATAAATCCTAAAGAAGATTTTAGTTCATGCAAATCTTTAAACCTTTTTTGAAAGTCTTTTTGTAAATCCTTTAGTTTGTCCAAGTATGATTCAATCTTATCGTCATCATACTGAATTGAAGGATTAGAAGTAATCATCTTCTTCATTTGAGGAAAATGATTAAATTTTTTCAAGCTAAGATCTTTCTGAAAAAGAATAATTTTTTTTTGAAAACTAAATATCGTTTGTGCAAGATCAGATATATTTTTTTCTTTTCCCTGAAGAAACAAATTCAGACTTTTTAAATGTTGCATTATATCAGTCAAAAATAAAAGATCTTGCACAAAATTTATATCATCTAGGATTTCAAATGTCTTTTCTTTTTCAATCAAAAAACATTTAATTGGCTCTAATAGTTCTACAAATCTATAAAAAACGTCACTACTTGAAAGCCATCTTACAGAACAGAAAAATGACACGTCACTTGGCTCGTCAGCAAGATCCAATTCATTTATAAAGTTTCTAAACTGTCTGTGATTTTTTGCATTTGCTCGAATATAATTTACAATCTTTAAAACAGATTTAAAAACAATTGGAAAGTTAAAATGTTTTGCAGCTAAATGTTCTCGATGAACAACACAATGAATTGGGATAAATTCTGGATACTTAGGGTCACTTTTTAATAAGCCTATAAGTCCTAAATGTTTTCCAGCCATTGCTGATGCACCATCTGTAGCAACACTAACAAGCTTGTTGATAGGTACATTAGCTTTAAGCAGAGCTTTGTCAAGGGCTTCCTTGATATCAACTCCACGAGTTGTGTCTTTCAACTCAACTAAATCTAGTAACTCTTCTTTTACAATTACGTCTGAAGTCACATATCTAACGAATACAGCCATTTGAGGCTTGTCTTGAATATCTGTTGATTCATCTACAGCTAAACTAAATGCTTCACAGTTTTTTAAATCGTTTAGTAATTGCTGTTCAACATCAATACTAATCTCAGATATTCTTCTTTCGGTTGTATGTCGAGAAATAGGAATTTGTGATACTAATCTTTGGATTTTGCTATTACTAGGATCTAAAACCGACAGGACATCTGAAATGTTTTGCTTTACAAATTCTCCATCGGTATAAGGATGTTTACCTCTGGCAATATTCCATACTATAACAAAACTTGCTTCTGTTGTATTAATTGATTCTTGGCTGTAAGATGAAATATTTAGTTGTTGATTTTTATTTTTCGTTTTGAGCAATTCAATTTTATTCTTTCTGTAATTTGAACATAACGGATATTCTTCAGAAAATTGTTTATGTTTTGTTTCATAATGACGTTTAACATTGCATGTCTTGTTATGAGCAAGTTCTATATTGCAAATTAAACACATAGGTTTATTGTTTCTTTCAATAAATGCATATTTTTTTGTCCAATCATTATGAAATATTCTGTTTTCGTATTTAATTTTTCTTTTCCGCCTTATTTTGCGAAGCAAACTAGTGTTAACTTTTACTTTATCCATTTTTGCAAGTTTTAAGACAATAAGAATGATGGAAATAATTATATGGAAATATATTAGCATATAACAATTTGGAAAAAAGCCGTATGCGGCTCGCGAGCCGCCTTAACATTCCAAGAGCCGCATGCGGCTCGCGAGCCACCATTTGGCCATCCCTGATATAGATGAACGATTGTTGATGGCTGGAAAAAACGAATTTCACTTTCGGTTAGAGCTAATGCAGACGATTGGAATTGAGTAATACGCTGATTTAAGTTTATTTTTTGAAGCTTTTCTGTTCTTATTAGTATCATTATTTCATTGGAAACCTAGATGTTTAAGTTTATTTTGAAGGTATATTGAAGTTCTGTTAATTTGAATAACGTTGTTTAAAATAGGAGTTGTTCAAGAAATTAGAAACTCCGTTTTCTTAGTGTTTGATTTGATAAAATCAGCCAATCTATAAGTTTCAAATTGTTTAATCAGTTTTTGAAGACCAGAAATTGTAGGACTTCGCAAGATTGCATCATCTGCGTATGCAATGATACCAGTATATATACCATTTACTTTCGATCCTACTTTGCATTGTGAAACTATTTCTTTTAGGATGCTTTCGGTATAAATATTATATAGATGAGGCGATCAAATAGAACCTTGTCGCACTTCTTGTGAGAAATTGATTTGAGATAAGTCCTTGTTTATGATATGTTTGCAGTTTTTTTTGATTTTATTAAATATAATTTTGTTTAACCAAGTTTTGTTTCTTTTTTCAAATACTGATCTTGTTCTACAGGGTTTTTTTAATTTTTATTAGCTTGGTAAAAGCTAAAAAAGCTTGAAAAAACCCATTTTGCAGCAAATTATTTTCCGTTATATAATTCCTAAGACATCTTCTATTCATTTTCTAATGACCATTAGTTATTTTGTAAAAAAACAAAAAATATTTTGTAATAAAGTAGTTGTTAACTAAGAAATTCACTTTTTCTTCATTTCTTATTGGTTGTTTTTCGAAAATTATAAAAAAAATAATAAATAATATTGGTAGTTTCTCAAACTTGTACAAGTGACATAAATTAGATTTTGTAACAGTATTTTATTATTTTAAAAAGCATAAAAAATGACGTATAATCGTTTCAATGCGATCTAAATGTTTATTGAGCAAATACTATGAATACTATGAACTAGAATAAATCAAAATAAAAAATGTAAAAGTTTTGAAACTCAAGTCTATAAAAAATTTTTTTGATAAAAAATTTTTTATTGGCTTGAGTTTCAAAACTACAGTTTTTTTATTTTAAATCCCTCACATTTTTTGTTAACGATAATTATCGATAAAAAAACGCAATTCTAAGAAACATAGACGTAATTAATTGAATTTAAAACTTTAATGAGTTTGATTATAAAGGCTGCGTAAGGGAGGTTGGGGCACAGTGGTAGGGGAAGTTGGGGCACAGTGAATCGGATTTCTTTATTTTTTAAATTGAGCTAAAGTTAAAATATGTATTTTATTTTTTTCAAGGCGAAATGGTTGAGATATATGTCCTTCATGATAAGAAATTACTAAAGCCCATATATTTATTATCTAACGGCTCACAGAAAGGTTTAAAGTGGATAAATGAATACAGCCGTGAATTAATGATAATGAATAGAGGCATAGTGAGGCTGAGGGAGTAAAGACACTGTACACTATAATTTTGGCATACTTTTATTAATTAGATTAGTATAAAATCGAAAATATAGACATTTTGAAAATTGAGAAAAAAAAAAAGAATTTTATTGGCAACAAAACTTATAAAAATATTAAAAAATCAAAAATTATTCAAATATTATTATTCATAACTTAAAACTGATAAATTCATTTTTATGTAGTTTGTTTGTTAAAAATATATGAATTCAATCTTAATAAGGCATAGTGAATCAACCTATTCACTGTGCCTCAACATAACAAATTAAGTTTAAGTCTAATTTCTTGGAACATACCCAGTAAGCACAAAGACGTTTAAAAGACGTTTTAAAGATATCTTTAAGGAGGTCTAAAAGGCGGACTTGTAGACGTCTAGATCACAAGGCTAAAAGACGTCTAAATGAAGACGTCTTTGTAAAAACGCGTTTTAGACGTATGTTAGACGTTTTTTTCAAGATAAATTTAAGTACATGACGTAACATTTTCGCGTAGTATGTGGTATATATTCATTGTATTTATAACTTCATACATTGTTATAATTTCGTATATACAAAATGTACATAGGAACCAGCTATCAAAATAATATTGCTGTAATCACCACCAACGGTTAATGCATCAAAGATGAAAATAATAAATAACAATAACAAATATATATGAAAACATTATTTAAATCATTTATAACTTACTTTTAGTTAAAATTAAAATTTAACATGCGTATTACTAGCTAATTTTTGAACGCATACTTGACTTATTATATGGCTTGTGGGTGTATAAAAACTAAAAGTACTGATATTTAACTTATATATTATTCTTGCCATTTTCACTTATTATCATGATCAGTCAACTATCTATTAAAAAAGCAAAATAATTATTAATAAAATAAAGATATATTATTATTATAGCAATTATTTTAGTGATTCCTGTGACAACAATTTTTGCAATTGTGTAAAAAAGTGACAACAATTTTAGCAATTGTGACAACAATTTTAGCAATTGTGTAAATTTAATTTAAAGTAATTTACACTTAAAACTTGAACAAATTATTGAAAATAATAAAAACTATGTTTTTACTTTAAATATACGACATCTACTTAACGCGTAATGACAAAGCCGTCAAAAAGAAGTCATAATGACATATTTATAAACAGGTCTCAGAAAAGACGTCTTTTAGCTTTGATCTAGACGTCTTTTAAAGCGTATTTTAGACTATTTATTACGCGTCTTTTAAACGTATTTTTAAACTTTAAAAAGACGCATTTTAAACGTCATGTTAAAATTGCATTTATTAAAGACGTCTAGAAGATGTCTTAAAAAAAGATATCTTCTAGACGTTTTTTTAACGCTTAAATAGACGCCTTTTAAACGTCATTTTAAAAACGCCTTTACAAAAGACGTGTAGGAGATGTCTTAAAAATTGACGTCTTCTAGACGTCTTTTTATCTTTAAAAAAGACGCCTTTTAAAGGTCATTTTAAAAACGCATTCATAAAAGACGTCTAAAAGATGTCTTTAAAACGTCTATAAAAGTGAGTCTTTACCAAGACTAGTTTTAGACGTTTATAAGTGTCTAAAATGCGTCTTGTGCTTACTGGGATGAGTGTTGTTAAAAGAAAAGCTAAACTACGAAAAGGAAGCATAAATTTCAATAATCCGAATGAAAAACTTCAACTTTGGAAATTATTTCAACCATGATCTTCATAATAAAGATAAAGACGGTAAAAAAATTTAGTTGAGTTAGCTAAAAACAAAAATTACCTACCAAAAACCGGTAATCAAAAACTGTGGTAACAACTATAAATTAAGATGACTGATATATGAGCACATTCAAGGATTACATTATTAAGCTGAATTAAGCTCTAATATTTGAGAAAATGCCTCTTATTCACTGTGCCCACTCGATCCACTGTACCTCAACTTCTCCAATAAACTTTTGGTTTTAAATATATTTTGTATTTATAATATTTATGTAGTTTTGAAACAATTTTTGTAACGTATTTTATTCCACCTGATGATGCTGACCGCTATAGGTCAACAAAATATTGTAAATATAAAATAATATCAAAATATATTTAAAACAAAAAGTTTATAAGCAGCCTTTATAATCAAACTCATTAAACATAAATATCGTATAACAAGAATATGATTTTAAAAGAATATAAAACTGTATTTGTTTAAGAAACTATAGGTAGCCAGTTTTTAAATCACGAGATCAATACCATACTGATGTTTAATGATATTGAAATTAAGGCGGATAATACAGGTTGATCCTCTGGTTTTAAATGATATGCTTGAAATTTTTTTCGAACTCAAAATTTAAGATTTAAGATTTAAGAACAATTCTACGTATCAAAAACTGTAACCGTTTTGTAAGCAGTTTATAAACTGCTTGCAAGCAATGTTCAGGTACTTTGACTTTTTTTTTAAATAAATTATGAGCAAAATTACTATCATTGGTTAGGAATGGAGAAATTTTTTTTTGAACTACATCTATTTATAGATATCTTTAGATCTAGCAGACTAAGAGTATAAAGTTATAAAAATAATAACGAAAGAGTTGTTATAGAAAGACCGGCAACCGACCGACATTGATCATTGTCCGTCGGTTCCCTAGTATTCATTAAAAACATGATTTATTGGTTTCATTAAAATTTATAAGTTTCGGTTTATTGAAAGAAGATTTTGATTCGAAAAAAGCATCTCAAAGAGATAATTTTAAACATCTTTGACACACACATAACCTAAGAAAAAGCGACAAAAAAAAAATTATAAAAATTATAAAGCTGGCGAATTTTCTTTTTTTTTTTTTTTTTTTGTAGCTATTTAAGTGCTCCCAGAAGTCCTTACGGTCTTATAACAAAGCACCGCGGGAGAGCAATTAACTAGAAATTCACGCCTCCTTCCGTACCAATGTCGCTTTGTTAGGCTAAAGCCAGCGTCGAACTACGGACCTCTGGGCTTTGAGCCAAAACTCTAACCACTGCGCCACGGCTGCTCAAACTTCTAAAATAAAGTATTTTATGTTGATCGTTATGAAATTTTTTTAATTAATTACGATGAAAAATTTTTATTGGAAAATTTAGAAAAATGAAACAAAAATTTTCTTAAAAAACAATTAAAAAAAAAAAAAAAATGAATACAAATCAAAAGCCATCAGCAATTAATTAAAAAAGCAAACAATTAGTAATAGTAACTTTACAATTAGTAACTTTACTTTTTTGAACCTAAAGTTAAGATGGTTTAGGAAAAAAAATATATTTTTATCCAAATGTTTAAGAATTAAAAAGCATACCAAAATTTTTTTGAAGTTTATTTATAAATTCTATGTTTTCAAAATTATTGAC